CACACACACTCTCTCTCTCTCTCTCTCACACACACACACACACACACACACACACAAACACAGACAAATGAGCCTCTCTCTCTCTCTCTCTCTCTCTCTCTCTCTCTCTCTCTCTCTCTCTCTCTCTCTCTAGTGCACAAATTCACCTGGTCTTCCCAGACCCCCTTAACTTTATCACCCTCGGAGAAGGCTTCCACAATTCTATTAATAGAAAGGAAAGCCCGCCTTCCTTCAGCTCCATTCCTGGGAGTGCTTCCTACCTCTACTGTAGGCATCAGAACGCATGTGTGGTCCGGTCTCTTTTCAGCCTAATCATCTGCAGTCCTTGGGAAACGCAAATGCATACAGGCAGGCTGACGAAGGTAACATACCTGAAAACATCCGCATAGCCCAGTTCCCTTGTCATGGGGCAGCACACACCACTGGCCCAACAAGGATACGGCGTTTAACAAATATTTCAGGTCTGGTACCTTTGTCAGTCTATCTTCATCAACCTATCGGTACATACCAACCACCCTTTGAAAAACTATCAAGAGTACGATATCCCCGTAGGCCAGTAAAGGTACCAGACCATGAGAACAACATTGGCACTGCCAGTAAGACTCACCCTTTCAGACAGTGCATGGGAAGGCCTGGCAATTGGTACCGGTACTCCCGAAAACCTTTGTGTGTTCCCAATACTCCGCAGTACCCTTAACAAAGTCACGATGGCTCGCATAGTGCATCACACTTGTTATATTCTGCACCGCAGATTCCGAGTTCTTTACACAAACCCGCATTGGCGATTTCTATTTTTTAAAGGGCGAACAGCCTTGAGATATCATCATTGAGCTGACCGGCCCCAGGCAATTCAGAAATATTTGGTTTTACTCGTCAAGTTCCATCATCTGGATTCGAACTCAGGTCTATATTTCAACACTTCAGGGGTGTACTATACCCACGGAGATTCCAAGTCTCAAACCGAAGATCTTTCTGCTGCTTCCCCCTCTATCACAACGCACCTCCATTATCACAAAACATTATCCCCAAACCATCTCTCCCCCCCCCCCCCTCTCCCTTCTTCCCCACTCCCTTTTGCCATCCACATCGAGTACAGAGTGCAGGAAAAACAGATTTCTAGGGGTGCCTGGGCTCCCGATCCGAACCCAGCAGCCGGCACCACCATTAACTCGGCAGCAGCTCTGCGATCGTCCCAGTCAGCAACCACCAATCTGATGACCTCGACAGGCTGGCCTCTAATGGTTGGCCGTCACATCAGCCATCATGGCAAATATAAAATCATACATGCCGCATGTTTTTCTGCCCTTCTCCTCCATTGCGGCTAATCCTCCCAAAAACATGAAAGCACAGCCGCAAAAAAAGAAGACGTCGCGGCTACGATCAAGTGCAGTATCTGTTCTTTAAACTTCTATTCCTATTGAAAAAAAACAAAAGTGCAGTCTCTGTTCTCGCCGATTTAATATCTGATCCTTGGTCCATCAGAAAAAAAGAAAATAATAAACAAGACGTGAAATCACGTTGTCGGGGCAGAAACCCCTGCCCGAGTTTTTCAAGATCAGACGTTGTCCGACTCTTTTCATCGAGGAACATGATGAGATTGACGTTGCCAAAGTTCATTCAGACCAGCACTATGATTGAGAGACCTAAACTTTCTTGAACCTGACGTCGTCGAAGCAGGACGACATCGACGTCCGTACGGGATAACAGGGGTCGGTACTGTCGTCCGCGATTTTCGACAAGGCCGCAGTAGTGTGCGGTCACGAGAAGACTAAAGTTAAAACCTAGTCTACCTATAATAAGGTCGCGCGGCTTAACAACCGCGCGATTCAGGACCTAAGTGGGCCAAAAAGGGGTCGCCGCGGCGAGATTGGATCGCGGCGTGAAGGAATGGTCTAAGGTCCATAGGGCTTTTGCGCCGAGGACCCGGGGGCGAAGGCGTCGGGGCCGGCTGGGTACGGCAGCCATTGAGGCTGTCGGCTGCCGACCTCGCCTGCCAGCCACGGCGGCAAGCCGGGGCTTAGCAGGCTCAGCCTGCTAGGCGCTGGGTAGGGGCCTGCTGGGAACCAGAAGCCTTTCATATAGAAGGGCCGCTCCTCTCCTGATGTGAAAAGGAGCTAGCCCAGTAGGTACTGTCGCCCGATTACCACCCCACAGATATGGGGATCGAACCTGACAAACTGCACTACCGGGCTAGCTCCTTTTGGAGCAGCCCGTGACTTGACAAGGGTGTGGCCGATTTTCGGCCGTGAAATCTTCGAGATCGCGCGGCTAAAATCAGCCGCGCCGGGGTGAAATGGCCCCTGTGAAAGGATGACACGCATAAATCGAGAAATGGTCCGATTTTTTTAGTTTCTTAGGAAAAAAAAAAAAAAAAAGGGGGGAGAAAACTTACCTAGGCCGTACCTGAGCGCCTAAGCGCCCAGGTACGGGCTTTAGCGAGGACGCTAGGGGCACGTTGCGAGGTAAGTCCTGCTTTTGTGTTTTTTTCTTTATTATTGTTATTATTTTTTTTTTTGGTTGCTTCTCGTCTGCTTGTGCCATTGAGGCAAAGCGACGCGACCGTTGGCATAAGCCAATGGTAAGACAAAAAAAATAAGAAGAAAAAAAAAAAAGGAGAAAAAGAAAGGGAGAAATGAAAAACGACGCGCCATCTGGCGCGTCCTGAACTGACTGGGGACTTAAAGTCCACAGTGAAACGACAGGCGCCCGTTAAATCGGGCAGCCACGATTTAGGAAGGTTTTCTCGTTCTTTTTTTATTCTGTTAGATTTTTTTTTAGATTTTGTTTAGATTCTTTTTCCATTTTTTTTCTTCTTCTTAGAGCTATGTGCCCATTCGCTTCGAACGAACGGGCGATTCAGGAGTCTGGCTGTGCCAGACTGTTTCGTCGGACTCTCACCGACTCATCAGGAGGCTGAGCCTCGACAGTGGGCCAGCCGAATGAATCAGCCGCAGAAATGCGTCTGTATGCAGGCATGTGGGGGGGGGGTTCCTCAGAGAGAGAGAGAGAGAGAGAGAGAGAGAGAGAGAGAGAGAGAGAGAGAGAGAGACCAGCACTGCACCCGTTGGGTTTTGAAAC